CCAGGTCATCTGGAATGACTCTAGCCACTGCTTATTGTCCCATGTGTGCTGGATGACGTGCAACCACCAGTCCTGGCTGGCTGGGTGTACCTACAGACAGTGGAGCTGGAGCTCCAGGAGCTCATGGATGGCAGTGGTGGTGGTATCCATATGTGCATTATCGATGTGTCATCGCTGTCCCTGCTGGGATCCAGGCAGCAGCCCAGGAGCTGGTTGGTGCCATGCCAGGTCAGGGGGCCTCAGACAGAGCAGTGAGACTGGCTATGCAGCACAGCAGAGCAAACAGGGTTGAGGCTGATCTGGGCCAGGCGGCAGTCACTATGGCAAAGTATGGCAGGCACAGCAGCAAACAGAAGCCTGGGGTGCAGGTCATCGCTGCTGGGGCCTGGGGGTGGAGCAGCCACGGTGGGTGCAGAGCACAGCAGGGCTGGAGGAAGCCTGGAGCAGGCTACTCCCATAAGCAGCAAATGTGGTCCCAAATGGCTGCACTTGTAGATGCCTGCTCAGGGCTAGTTCACTGTGCAGTAAATTACTGTGCACTAAACCCAAATAGCATTAACTGCATGTGTAGACGTGCTCAGTGACTCCTGCAAGCAACGTGCCTGCCAACAAATATGTATTAAAAATAGCAACATAATTCAATGTATGGCCCAAGCAAAACCTGAGCACCTCAGAGTCTTTAAAATGCATTTAGCCTTACAACCTGTCTGAGGTAGGAAAGTGCTCAGACAGAAGATATAGACTTAATGCAAAAATTACTGGGTAAAGTTCTTCAGCCTGTGCTATGCAGGATGTCCAGCTGGATGGTCATAATGGCCCCTTCTAGTATTAAAATCTATAAATCCATAGATTCATAGACGTTAGGGACTGGAAGGGACCTCTCAAGAACATCAGGTCCAGCCTCATTGCGCTTGGGCAGGTAAGACTGCTGGAGTCAGATGACCCCAGCAAGGTGAGCATCCAGGCGTTTTTTGAAGCTATCCAGAGTAGGTAATTGTACTTCTGTGGGGAGTCTATTTCAGACCCTGGACACTTGAGTTGTAAATAAGTTTTTCAATTTGCTATTCTGTCTCTGGGGTTTCACTTCATAGGTGAAAGAAACTGAGTATTGGACAATTAAGGAACAATCTGGTCATAAGTAGGGCACTTTTTTCCCCTGTTATGGTAGGCCTCCATGCTCAGTCTAAATATTTAATTTCTTCACTTACTACTTTTGTTTTGTTTCCTGTTTTTTATTATTTTATTTTATATCTGTTTTTCTTCAGTTTTGTATTATCATGCCAACTGCTGGACCAGTCCCTCCCAAGAGAAAGTTTTATATAATTATATTTTGAGCATAATTCCTTACTGGCTCATCTTTAATTACTTCTTGGACCAATCATGTAAGCTTGCCAAGTGGCATACATCTCCTGTGTCACTTGTGCACTTGGCAGTCATTCTTCACCTGGCTGCATCTCATCTAGATTCTTTGCATCCTAAGCACTGTTCTTTCCTTTCTTAAAAAGTTCTTACACTCTCTTCCTCTCTGTAGTACCTGTATATTAAGTGCTGTGACTGATATCTCTGATGTGGTTCAATACTTTTTTCATCCTCTGCCAAGTGTAGAATTGTGTATGCAAAGCAGTGTTTTGTTTTGGTAGGTCCCATGCTGGTGATGCTGTTTTAAGGGCTTTTCTTCCTCAAAACGTACATACTGTTCTGTGTTTATATGGGAGAGGGGAAGGTCAAAGAAGCACACTCTGCACTTGGAGCAAATGGTGGTGAAGTTTGCGATGATGCTTAGTTCCTGTGGGAGTTGTTTCACCAGCCCTCAAAAAAACCCTGTCTCCCACACAGACAAGTTTTTACCAGTACTAAAAAGCTCCACTGTGCCTGAGGAGTGAAGTTGTTGACCGTGGTCCTCCTCCTGGAGCATCAGGAAACCTTTTTTAGTTGTAGCCAGTAGCAAGCTACAGACAGAAAGCCGGCCAAGCTCTCTGCCTTCTCCAATTGCACTCTGGGCTGGAACCCACTGAAGAAGGCATAGGCTGGGAGGTCACAGGAGGAGGAGGAAGCAGCAACAGCAACAGCAGCCGCAGTGGCACAAAGTCAAGGGTTTATTATTGGTCCTAGTTCCCTCCTGTACCCCTTTCCTTTTGCACCAGACCCTCCCTACCATAATCCATCAGCTACCCCAGCAACCCAAGAGCTATTCATTTCCAACTACCTGAGAGATCTCAGGAACCTGACCACCCATGCAGCTGGCTCAGGCATTCCCATGCAGTGACTTTCCTGTACCATCCTGAGATATAGGGTGTTGTGGGAAGGTAACTGTGGGGGGATTTGGGATGGTGGAGTCCCAGGATAACTGTGTAGGAGAGTGAATGAGTCACTGGGAGATGCTGTGCTTCTTGAGTGACAAGCTATCAGTACTGCCCCTTGGTAAGGCAAAGTTTTAGTATTTGTAACATTCAATTGCTTAGTGTACTAGATACAAGAAGAAGAGATGGATTCTGTTCTTGTACAAAATACACATTTTATTAAAGTCCAAAAAGTCAAAGGTTCACCTGAGCTGGAAGGCCCACTGGGCTAACCTGCTTACAGTCAGACCAGTTTCTATAGCCGATGGCATGTAAGGGACTGATGTAATATCACATCCCACCATCTTTGACTTCCAACCTGAAGGACTAGACACTCATTTAGAGCTGCATTAACTGGAGACAGCTTTTGACCAGGATTCAGACTCATGTCTTGAGATATAACAAGAAGCCTTAACTGCCCTGTTGCCACAACTTGCCACTATGCTGGAATAACATTGGCCATTTCTTTGTTTTTCTAACTTGATTAATGCACATTGGAATTAAACCACATTGGGCCCCAATTATAGGGAAAACATAATTGGCTCCATGCAGCTTACAGTACAAAGTACTCATCTCTTCCTGCAATACTCACTTCACCTTTTCCAATTTCCCTTTCATTAGGAATCCTGCCTTCTAAGCATTTATTTAATGTTAGTAGCACTGACTTGAGACTACTAGTTTACAACATAATTATGGTACCTTCAGATAACTTTGCCAAAGAAACAGTTACTACCAAGGTAACAGGAATCACCTTAGATAAGAAGGAAACATGCCAGGCATTTTTAAAATAAATGTTCACATGAATTTAGAAATGAAGAGGGAGATATTACCAATAAATGTGTGGAGAAGCTATCTATTGGGAACACAGTTGCTTTTTTCAGAAAGGAAAGAAAGTTCAAAAAAACCTTCTTAGCTGTGACTGGAGGAGCTGGCTGCTTATGGCATAGTTACTACATAGTACAGTGGTTCTCAGCCTTTATAGACTTAGGGCACCCCTTGTTAGACTTGAGGCACTCCCCACTGGACTCAAGGCACCCATCTGTACCTTCTGTGAATCGAGTGGTAAGCCATTAAAAAAATTAATTGATTCATAAAAGTGCTTGTCTCCAGCAGTGGATGCAGGGGGCAGGTGCACTGGTGCATGATATACCCCACTTTGATTCCTGCTCCACCCAGCAGAAGCATTTCTAATCAGGCAGTGCTGAGAGAGTCAGTTGACTTCATGGCTCATTATCATCTGTCTCATCCCTCCTAAACTCTTCATTCCATGGGTGTTAAACCCTCTCCTCTTTCTAATGGTTTTCATGGTCCACCCAGCAAGCCACCCTTTATTGTGCTGTCTGTTCCCTGTTTCTGGTCAGGAAGCTCCTGTTACACAGCCCCTCCCCCTGCATCCTGTGAAAGCATACCTTTTAAAGGGTCACATCAACCCGCAGGTGTAGCTACTGCTACACTAGGGGAGTACATCAAGGGCTCGGCAAGCAACTGCTCACCAGGGCACCCAAGAGGAAAAGCAGGAGTAATGGCCACAAACTCCTGGAAGATCGATTCAGGCTCAACATTAGGAAAAACTTCTTCACAGTCAGGGTGTCCAGACTGTGGAATAAGCTCCCTCCAGAGGTACTGCAATCACCTACCCTGGAGATCTTCAAGAGGAGACTGGACAGTCACCTCGCTGGGGTCACCTGACCCCCAGTTATCTTTCCTGCTTGGTGCAGCAGACTGGACCCAATGATCTTCTGAGGTCCCTTCTGGCCTTCCAATCTATGAATCTGTTTTTAACTCATTCCCATGAGGTGATGCCAGTTTTTGCCTTCATCCTGAACTGAATAATGCAGCCCTAGGTCCCTTCCGTTTCATCCTAAACTGAATAATGTAGCCCTAGGCCCTTTGCCTATATTAGTAAAGCTTCTAGTTCATTTTTAACTGGAGAAAAACGTGTGTTGCTTCACCTGTGCATGAGGAGGCTCCTCACCATCTGCACCCCCTTTCTCAAAATCCAAGCTCAGCTCCTTGCAGAGGGGCCAGGTCATGTGGTGCGTGGAAGCAACCAGGCAGGGAGCCTGCCTTTCAGCCTGACAGGGTATTTATAACCAAAAGCTTGCAAGGAAGACTTTTCCCAATTATTTGCGTTGGTCTAATAAAAGAGATCGGATTTACACAAAGAACCTTGTCCGCCTATGTCCTTACACCAACCTGGCTGCAACCCACACCCCTGCATCTCCATCCTCACACTTTTTGCAGCACCCTTCATAGGAGCTCAGGGTGCACAGACACCCTGGCTGAGGATCAGGGATCGTGCTTGGGGAGTGCCCAGGAAGGGCTGAGGGTGCCTGGCGGGGCCCAGATAGGCCCCGGCCCACGGCTGCCTCCCCCTCCCCAGCTCTCCATTCCCCATCTCCGGGCTTCTTGCCCGCACCCAAGATGGCTCCGGGTGAGCCCAGCTCCAAGACTGGGCATTCTGCCCACACCCAAGATGGAGGCCAGCTCGGTACAGTTCTAGCGGCGAACGGTGCCGACTCGCCGCTCTTCATAGGGTGAGCCTGGCCCCGCCCCCACCCCTTCGCCCTTCCTATTGGCCGCGGAGAGGCGCCGCCGCGCTACGATTGGCTGGAGAGCGGTCATTGCCGTTTCTCCCTCCGCTCCGGGCTGCCCCCCTCCCCCCGTTTTTTTTTCTTGAGGGGACCGCGGGGGGAGGCTCGGGGGGCGCACTCCCCCGCCGTCTTAGCCAGGCAGCGGCGGCGATGCGGGGGCCCCTTGCGCAGCCGGGCTGCGGCTGAGCGGCGCGGAGCGGTAAGTCCCGCACGGGGCCGGGATCCGCCCGGGGGGGAGGTGCGAGGCCCTAAGTGTCCCGGGGCGCCCGGCGGGGGGAGGAGCGGCGGTGCCCACCGGGGCCTGCAGCTCCCCCTGGCCCGGGCTGCCTCGCCCGCCGCCGCGCTACAATGGGAGACTGCGGCGCTCGGGCCTCGGGGCAGTTTAGGGAGCGGTGCGGGGGTTTGTGAGGGGCTTGGAAACCTCTTCCCGTATTGGGGGAAGCGGGGATGCGGCAGCCTCGGGGAGGTAGCAGCTGGTAGGCTACTGGCAACCATGGCAGCGCCTCCCTCACGGGAATCCTGGCCCTGAGGCAGGGGTGCACCGCGGTGGCCCACAGCCAGGTGGGGTTGGAGGGGGAGTGCTGGGGGATGGGCCTTGGGGCGGGGGGGTTGGTAGGGCTGTGGTCATTTTTTTCTTATTATGATGATGATTATCATTATCTCTGGTGAAGGGGGTGGGGGGGCTGATGCTAAAAGTTTGCCCCCGGGGCAGCTAGGTACAGTGCTGCTCCTCAGGAGGGGATGGGATACTAACCTGGGAAAGGGGCTGCTTGGCTGGTGGGGCCTGGGTTCAGGTGAGGGAGGCTGGGCCAGGCTTGGCCTCTGGGCTGATAAAACAGTTCTGATGCAGGCAGGGCCCAAGGGGAGGGGGCGGGTTGTGGCGTGGAGAGGGGCCAGTTGTTCTAGTAATTGGGTGACATCGTCTCAGAACAAAGAAATGCAAATGTTTCCTGAGAATTGTGCGTTTTGTTGCTGGGTCTCCTTTTCAGTTGCTGTCTGGTAGCCAGAATATGCATGAAGGAGGGTGAGAAGGGAAAAACCTGGGAGCTTTTTCATGGGTTTTGAATGTTATGCAGGAGACCCGAACTGTACTGTCCTCTTATGGGCTGCACAGGTTTTGGACTCTTACAAAAATCTTGGAGCTATTAAAGTCCACTGGGTGTTTAATCGTCACTAATGACATTTGTGTAGTGTTGAGTTTTTTTTTAAAATACCAACTAAAAGAAATGAGAGACTGTTTTGGGGCACTTTTCTGGTAGTCACCCTGTGCTACTCTTCTATAGTTACATGTTGTATAGTAAAATGTTTTACTTGAATTTTAGTGCATTATAATTTGAAATGTAATATCTACAGTCATTTCATTGTAAAAATCCACTGATGTGATCGGACTTCAAGTCAGCATTCATAAATGTCTAGAGAAACAGTTTCAGACTTCCTTTACCTTTTTAGGAAGCTAGCATTAATTCAAACTTTACTCATCAAAATGGACAGTGGAATACTAAAAATACAGATAGGACCCGATACCAGGTTGAATTCTGTCCAGGGACTGGAGTCTGCTAGCATGACACTTATTTGCAGGATCAGCACCTTAATGTAGCTTTAAAAAAAAAATGCTTTCTGTATCTCTAAAGAAGTTTTATAGAATGATGACATGATTCCTGTTTTCCTTTCTTATAGAACTGGGTTTATGCCAGTGCAAAAACTATGCATCAGGATGCAGTATTTACTCATGCAAAAGAGCCTTCATAGTTCCATTTTTGTCCCTGATACATAATGTTGTTTGCAAGTAAATTAGAAGGTTGCCTGATTCTCCTAAGCATAGGGGTGTACTGTCCTTTCAGAAATCAGTGATTGGATGGGGAGTTGGTTGGGGCTATGATACCAGGCCCTGTCCATAAAATGTAATTTGTCATTTTCATTTGGGAGGGACTCCTAAGTTTTCTCTTTAATTTAATTCATAGTATATTCAACAGGGCAACTACACCAGGGTGTCAAACTCACCTTGGGCCCTGTGCCCAAGAAATACTGTTGGGGTAGTGGATTATTTTAGTGAGGGCTTTCTACTGCTCAAATGTTCTGCTGCTCAAAGTTTAACACCAAGCTTTGTTAGCTGTAACATCCAAATTTGGTGAGGTTGCCACAGCTGGAAGCAAAGAGAGGCAGCCTCCAGTTTGATATTCAGGTGTTCATAGATATTAAAGGAAATTGGAATAGACTTGGACTCTGGGTAATAACATACATTGTCTGATGTGCTTTCCTATGATTTATGAGTGACAGCTAGTGGGTTGCATGTCAAGCAGCCTGTAGTTTGTGGATGCCTCTTGTGTCATCCCAGGGTAGAATGCAAAGAATAGAACATGGAAACAATCTTGGGGCCCAACATACTGAATTGCTAAAATTCTCTTCTTGGTATTTTCTGATGTCTTGCATCTACTTTTAGTTTTAGGAATCATAGTAAAAGTTGCAGCCCCTACATAGCATCTCATGAAGTAAGCTGCTGCTTACAGAAGCTTATGCATCTCTGATTTAGTCTATAAGGTGAAAATCTACTCTGCCTTCTGCAGGAATGTTGTAGCAATACAGCCGGCTGGCATACAATTGTTTTGTGTGACTTCATACACCCATGAGCATTGAAATGATGACTCTTTCAGTCCTTGGAGAGTTGCATTGTGTTTCGCTATAATAGGCCGTCTAATGGCTGCAAACATAGCCAAGAAAGAGAGCTAATGGGGTTAGGAAGAAACTGTTTTCTACATCCAAGTTGCTCCATAATTGCAAGTTATGACATTTTTTTCAAATTTTTTCTTCTGAACTCTGATACTTTTCACTCTTGGAGACAGGATGCTAAAATAGATGCCTATCAGTCTGACTTGATATGGCAATTCCTGTTTTTCTAATGAATGAATAGTACAGTGATGAACTGCCTGCTGTTCTGATCTTATTCTTTCTATTTTAATCTTATTTGAGGTTCATATTATATATGCTAGTAGGAAGAGTATGCAATTGGGAGATGCCAGCAGTTACTGTGTACTAGTAAGAGGTGTAGCCATAAACTAACTCTGTCTGTTGTGTTGTAATACTGAGTGCTATTTAGGTACCTAGAGCCATTGAAACTCATTGAATTAATTTGTACAAATTCATATAGTTTTCATATAACGTATTTTACTCTATAAATGTATTTCTCTTCATTCCATTTTAATTAAACTAGTGAATGATCTAAGTGGGAAAGGAAAATGTCAAGTCTAAAAGGTGATATTTGTATTTCCTCATTGGAAAGTGTACAGTCACTTGAGTTTATATATCTGAAAAGTAATTTGGGGGAATAAATAAAACCAATTAACATTTGGTTTGACACCTTTATCAAACTACTAACAATTTCTTTCATAAGAGAGGATTAATAGTTTCTTTAATTTCTATATAATATCCCAGTTGCTGTACAAATGTCTGAGTTGGGTTATTCCCCTTCCTCTGCCCAAGGCCTTGTAGTGCTAGGCAATGGGAGGAGGTACTTGGAATATGTACAGGGCATACACTTCAAAATAGTCTCAGAATGTGATGAATTGAAATGCAAGGCTCCCATTATGATGTATGGAATATGGAAAGAAGCCTCACCTAGTACAAGAAATTGAGGTGTAACATGGTGGTAGGTTGCTTGCTGTGCATATTGTGTGGTGTTAAGTAATGATATTAGGAATTAATGGGAGGGTTTCATTATTGTCTACTGGCAGTTCATGTAGTACATTTCTTTAAAAGCCTTAAAAGCAATTTGATAGTTTCAAGGGTATCTATTTGAATAAAAAGAGCATTTTGACTTCCCTTTTTCCAAGGAGTATGTTGGCAACTTCTTAAACACTATTAGTATGGTATTTTCATTTTAAGGTCAGTTAAAATGTAATTTTTCTTTTTATACTGAAAAAAATATATATGGAGTTCATAAAATGGCTACTTCAAATATAGTTACATCTATATTCCCAACCTTCTAACAAGACTTTAAAGTATAAATAACTGAATATTGTCCTAAAATTATATTTTGATATGTGGCATCAAGTACCAGGCAGCTTACTTTTAGGTTTTTGAGCTACTTCTAATTTAAAATATTATATTTGAAATTTTGCCTTCTGGAACTTTTATCATTTGTTAACTTGTGTAAATTAATAATGACAACTCTGAATATTTTTCACCAACTTGTTTAGCTGTTTTCTGAGTTAAATGGAGAAGAAAAAATGTGCACATTCAGGATATAAATTAGACATACTCTGTTAAATTTTTCAACAAAATGAAATTTTAAGAGTGGATTTTAAAGATTAATTCATACATTAACAGGTATTAATGCATACTTCTTCCAAAACGGCTTAAGTCATTGAACACACAGTTTAGCTTCAGAAAATATGAAATGACTTGCCTAGCTTCACAGTTCAAGGATTATCCAGTTGCTTTTCGGTTTTTTTGAAGACCAAAATAAGAAAACGTGTAGTATCAATTTGCTGTTTCTGGCATGTTGGAGATTTTGGCTAAAAAGTTGGAGTCATTTTACATAATCTGTGCTAGTTTGTATGGTGCATATTTCTGTGAAGACCTTCCTATTTTTTAAAAATAATTCATTTTAAGGATTAAATCCGTAGGTTTTATCTGCATTTTGGAATGTATCCACACTTTGTTAAAATAGTTCACATGAAAAGGGTTCTTCTGTACATGGGGGTTGTCCCTAAATTCTCAGAGAACAGTTATATTCATTGCAGTGCTTTTATTTAGCCATGATTGCTAAACTGTTCCAATGTAAAGATTGGGATAACAGCAAAACAATTTTTGGGTCTGCTTTTTAAAGACAGCTTTGAAGCTTTTGCTGAATAAGAACAGGCAGACTTCCCGACTAAGAATGTAAACTATTATGGAGCATCTCATGTCTGTACTGTAGATCAGTGTTTCCCAATTGGCGTGCTGTGGCACACTGGTGTGCTGTCAGGCACATCCAGGTGTGCCACAGCATTTTGGGCTGGAGCCATGCCCCCTCCCCTGCCTGCTGCAGACACAAACAGTATAGTGCCGCTTCTCAGGAGGGAACGGGATACTAACCTGGGAAAGGGGCCGCTTGGCTGGCGGGGCCTAGGTTCAGGTGGGGGAAGCTGAGCCAGGCTTGGCCTCTGGGCCGCTAAAGCAGTCCTGATCCAGGCAGGACCCAAGTTGGGGGGGGGGGGGGTG